GGCGGGAGGGAGGGCGGGAGGCAGGGCGGGAAGGAAGGGGGCGGCGGCGGAGGAGGAAGCAGGCGAGGACGAGGAGGAGGGGGAAGAGGAAAGCGAGGACGAAGACGCGGCATGGGACGACGTGGTGCGTGTCTTGCAGATGATCGAGCGAGAACACGTCCTTCCCCCACCCGTGGTCCTCGAGGCGCTCTCCCAGCACGAACAGCTCCCCCTCTCCGTGGCGCGTACCTACATCGTCCGTCTCCTCAAAGAGGCGGACGGAGACCTGCAGAGCCACCAGGCCAACATCGAGTCCCTCCGAAAGAGCACCCACGAGAAACGCGCCGAGGTTCAGGACCTCCGGACCTCGGCCCGCCTCTTCCAGAGCACCACGTGCGCGGCCTGCCAGCGACCGTTGGAGCTCCCTGCGGTCCACTTCCTGTGCATGCATTCGTACCACCTGGATCCCGGGTGTCTGGCACAGGAGGGAGAGTGCAACGAGTGCGCGGCCGACCAGCACCACTACGAGCGGATCCAGCTCAAGGATCAAAGAGGCAAAGCTACGGAGCACGAATCGTTCTTCACAGAACTAGAGGAGCATGGATTTGCGGCCGTCGCGTCCTACTTCGGGAAAGGGGTTTTGAACGTGTAGAATGAAAGGGCCGCACCGTGTCATAGGCACGGACTCTTCCACCAAGGCAAAGATGCATTTTCCTCCAAAGTCCATTTATCGATATTGTAGATGTTTCTGTGGCTCTCTGACAGGGACTCTCTTTTTTTACTTTGTGGCCGTTGGCTTTACCATTCATGTCCTAAATTGTAAGAAATCTATTTCGCTCTACTGTCAGCTATCACCTTTTTCATGTCTAACCCATTCGGCCCATTTAGTGATCTTTGGCGTCTCCCACAGTGAAAATGCTTTCATATAAAGTCTTCATGGATGTATAGGAGGTGTTAAAGTAAGCCTTCCCCGTCGTGTCGCAAAGCAAAAGCACCAGTGTTTTTACCGCGCTAGTTGCCGTTGGTTGCAGATCGAAGGGAAAATCTCTGTGTCGCGGGTGTGATCCTCTGCTTTGTGAAATATCCATCCCTGTGAACGAAATCGACTAGTTTCAATGAAGTCGATCAGTTTACTCTTGTCGGTGTTCTTGCCCAAGTTTTTTGTGTCTACTCAGGCCCCGGGATGGTCATAGACGGGGAGGTTATCCGGGATCCAAGCCTGCTACCTAATAAAGGGGAATATGATGGTGATGGATGCAGTCCCGAACTTTCATCTCTTACAATATTATGGGTTGTGTTGTCCCGAGCCAACCCTGTACCTGGCACCTATGATAAAACCTCAGGGTCGTAGACCCTTGATTTCTTTTATATGGGCCGTAATCATTTTGGTGCTGTCCAAGGGAAGGAGAAAAATTATACCCCCCACCCCTACCCGTCCACCAATGCCTTCAAACCTGCATCGATCGCGATATAATTTTTGCTTTCCTTTAATGTATCTCCAACCACATCATGCGGCAGGTGACTCTGGGGCTTATTGCCGGTACTGTGGCAGCATTTCACCAATGCGGCTGGCCACCTGTTCCCGCTTTTTCGAATTTTGACCTACTTACTGAATATGGTCCAAGGGATGCGCAGCTTACCTAATTACCAAAACGTAACCTTTTATTTTTTTATCTTCTTCTTGACAAGACCCATCCGGGCTATTCAAGAAGAAGTCGTCCATATCCGTCTGGCCGATGGTGTCGATCGACGGTCTCTACAAAGTACAGCAGAAGAGCCTCCGACGATCCCTCCAGTGGACACCCCTTCTTCCACCTCCACGCCTCTTCCAGCACCCGCTAGGCCGTCTGGCCCCCGATTGCTGCGTGAAATGGACGGTGAATCTTTCGCATTGACGAAAGATGGACACAATTACAACGTCAAGATGTTTCAGACCGTGACGCGAAGACGGCCCTCGGAAAACACCCCAGTAGTCCTGGGCGTATGGGACAAGTGGGAAATGGTGAACGGGAAGGAAGAGGCTGAAGATGTGAATATAGCTTGCAAAGAGGCTCAAGTTGGTGAAGGGCATGGGGTCTCGATGTCGTTTCGCATGCTATACCGGCATGGTGACCCATGCCCGCACAATACAAGTGTCCTCCAAAGCGTCACCGTCGACTTCCTCTGTCTCGCGCCGTCATTCACCACCGTGCCAGGGCTGGACTCCGGAGCCAGTGCCGGAAAGCCCGCGTCGGTCTCGGACATGGATGGCAGCAGCCATGTCACCACGTGGGAAGAGGAAGCGGACGGCCAAACTTCGCTGGGGACCCGTCCAGGTGTGGCGAAGGACATGGGCCAAGGTTTGAATTTCCGTTTGATGGACGCCGTTGAGACCCCTCCATGCCACCACCGTCTCACATTGGACTCTCCTGTGCCGTGTGCCGTCTTGGCACGGGACATGGTGGATGTGGCTCCTCCGTCGCACGCCGGCGTGCAGGCAGGCGGGGCAGGGAAAGGGAGGAAGGGAAAGCGGAAACTTCCCAAGGGCCAGAAAAAGCGGAACGGGCGACGGCTCTATAAGAGGCTGCTAGTAGTCGCAGGAGAGCTATGTCTGGCGCTTCGGGGGCCAATGAGGAGGGCGGGATCGTCAGTGAAAGAACAGTGTACGTTCGTGGCGAGGGCAGTCAGGAAACGATTCTGGAAAGCGATCTCCGTCCCCCTCGCGTCCCTCCTCGCCCTCCCTTCCACCTGCTGGCGGCTTGTCTCGGAACGAGGGTCTAAGCGAAGGGAAGGGGGTCTGGAGGCGCTGGTGGAGGAGATGAGGGCCCTACGATTGTTACTGACGACCTTTCTGGGGGAGAGCCGGGCGGAGGGAGGGACATGCTGCCCGTACCCGGGGCGAGGGGAATGCAGAAATGGGAAACGGGAGAGAGATCACGAAGGTGGGGAGTATGCCTGATGCTGAGCGGTGTGGTCGTCGTCCTAAAGTAAGAGTCGTGGCAGGTAAGGCGCAAGGCGTGCGAGGGGAGACAGAGAGAGAGCCGCACCGCCTCTCGTTCCGAGATGTTGTTTCGTGGTTGTTTTTTTCTTTTGTTCAACACCGGGCTACCGTTATACACCGGTGCAAGCCCTCACAGACGTACATTTGCGTGCGCCCAGGCGTTTGAGTACAGGAGCGCGGTCGAAGAGGGGGATGGAGGCAATCGGACGAAGAAGGTGCACCTACCATCTCGTTACTCTCGTCCCGGTTGTCCGACGCCTCATCCACAATTATCTGACCAAGAACGCCTCTGTACACGCGTGAGCTACACGGCAGCAAAATCTTGTTAATTTTGAAAGTGCGACTGAAAAAATTGGTGGTTTTCGTATGACCTAGAGAATCAAGCAGCGGAAGCAGCTCCACCTCTCCGTCTTCACCTTTCCGGCAGCCGACAGGAATGTACAGCTTCCACGCTTCCACGGGGCGATCCTCCTCCAAGCAGATCATGCAAAAAGCCCGAAATAAATTGCAGGAAACACAGCACGAGGGAACGCAAGGTCCCGTCGCGGGCCTTCCTGCTCGTTCCACCCCACACATACCCAAAACGGTCACCCTACATCGCTACATAGTGAACAATATCCTTCCTCGCTTTTCCATCGTATATCGACGCCGTCTCTTCCTTACTCCTTGAGGAGGATCTTCGCCATCTTCTTGTTCGTGAGCACCTTGTCAAGGGTCGGCACCACCACCTTGTCCTGCATGGGCGCAGACGAGATCAGGACCCACGCCACGATCAGGAAAGCGGGGGCCAAAGCGATGAGCGCGAAGGAAGTGGCGATCCCCAGGAAGATGGTGACGGGGAAGAAGAGGATGGCGGGAATGAGAAGGGAGATGGAGACCACGCAGGAGAGGAAGAGGCCGGCAGCGATCAGGAGGTAGGGGTTCACCTTGGGAGCCTTATCCACCTGAGTCTTAACGCTCTGTGCCAGGGAAAGGAGTAACGGGTGGTCGAGCCGATGTGGGAGATTTTATTATTCTTACTGATGAGTAACGCGCCATGTGTCTTAATCTCAACCCTGCTTATGTGCCAGTGCGGTTCATGTCTCTCGCTAGGTCCAGCGAGTCAATTCACGAGGGAACTCGATTCAAAAAGGCAGATGTACGTACAGTGTAGCCCGAGTAGACGAAATCCAGAGTCTTGGAGATGGCAGGGTCGATGGGCTTGGTGATCTGGCCCGTCTTCTGCGACAGTGTAGCCACAGCCTTGAAAGGCTGCTTGAAAGGTTTGACGGTGCCAACGGGCGTGGTTGCGGAAGAAGAGGTCATTACAGGGCCGGCCATCTTATCTTGAGATAGAGTTTCTGCTAGTTTGTATACGATGTATTAAAGTGCGAGCGCCGTGAGAGGGTGCGTGGCATCAGATTCTATTCCTAATTCGGACTGACGCCGTACACAGGAAAACAGCAAGCAACCCAAACAACCACATCCTGTCAAGTGCAACACACGAAATGGTCCAGCATTCAAACAGGTAAAAATCAATGTGTGGACTGCTCGTACAGGCCATAGCCGTCAAAAAGACGCAAATCACGGTCAAATCTTATGAGTTCTCTCAGAACAAACGGCCATGTTGGCTGTCGAGTCGAAGCACAGAGAGAGGCTTGTCACAAGCCGCCTCCCCATGTCTGACGCTACAAAAAACTTGATATTCCGTGGTCAAGTCCCTGACCGGCCCCGGCAGAAGTGCAGGGCAAAATTTATACCAGACAAGGCCACCCTGCCGCGTGCGGTGGTCGTTACGCACATTGCTTCGTCACAGTCGCCCGGTGCTTTGTCGCCTATGGCAGCGAACATGACGCAAGCGGGTCTCAACGGCCGACGAGCGTCTGCGCGTGAAATGAGCAAATAGACCGCGCCCACCCATCACAACAACAACGCGCCCGGGCGAATAAATGCATGGCCCGGACGTTCTGGGTGGGGTGCGGTTGGCAGGTGGGAGGGACTGTATTGTCTTGAGGATGGATGTTGACTTGATTAGATACACATTTTTTTCGACGTTTCTAATCACCACAGCCACTCAGTCACCATGGCTGTCATTTCCAATAAGGTGGGCGGCAGCAAGCGGAAAGTGACCTCCCCACCCTCCGCCATTACAGCTCGCACAAACCCGAAAAAAAGCAACACGTTGAGCAAAACAGATGAAGCTCAAACGACGGCCGACAAGCTTACTTTGCCTCCAAGCCGCGTCGATGCCACTCAGGCTACTCGTGCCGTGGAGGCATTACTGCAACATAATGCTCGGCACCAGGCTCTTGTAGCAAGCAAAAAATCCAAACAGGACCTCTTAGCGTCCGAGGCAGGCGATTACATATTGATACAGATAGCGCTTGCCAAAATTCCTGAACGTGTGAGTCCCAAGCCGGTGCCTTTATCATTGCCCCACCCCCTCCACGGTAGCGGCGGCGACGACGATGAAGACCATGCCGTGTGCTTGATAGTAAAAGAATCGGACAAGGGTAAAGTTCAACGCGCGTTGAATGCGATGAAAATGGACGGCGTGCGTGAAGTCGTGGGATTGCAGGAGCTGAGAACGGACTATAAGGAGTTCCAAGAGCGGCGACAGCTCCGGGACGGTAAGAGGCGCCCACCGTGTGAAAATTGGAAGGCAATACGTGCGATGGCGAAGCACGGGGGTTGAGTTCGGAAGGCAGACTTTT